TAGCCCAGGCTGGCCTCGAACTCACAGAGATCCGCCTGGCTCTGCCTCCCGAGTGCTGGGATTAAAGGCGTGCGCCACCAACGCCCGGCTACATGTGATATTCTTTTAAAACAAAACAACAAAAACCTAAAGAAACCAAAATGGTAAGAATTGTTAGGGTGAAGGGATGAATTTTGTGAATGCTACTTAATACATTTATTTCTCTGAGTGTATTGGAAGTATCTCATAATCTAAAACAAACAAACAACAACAAAAACATTAATTTTCTGTTCTACTTTTCTTGCAAGTAAAATATCTCACTATGCTCTGACCTGAGCTCTGTCAGATTAGTTCACATTGTCTTTTCATAAAATACTTTTTTGTTTGTTTGTTTTGTTTTTTGAGACAGAGTTTCTCGGTGTAACAGCCCTGGGTGCCCTAGAACTTGCTCTGTTGACCAGTCTGACCTCGAACTCACTTGCCTCTGCCTCCCGAATGCTGGGATTAAAGGCGTGTGCTAAAGTCACTCAGCCATAAAATACTCTTTTTTTTTCATTTATTTATTTATTTATTTATTTATTTATTTATTTATTTATTTATTTATTATGTATATAGTGTTCTGCCTGCATATATGCCTGAAGCCAGAAGAGGGCACCAGATCTCATTATAGATGGTTGTGAACCATTATGTGGGAATTGAACTCAGGACCTCTGGAAGACCAGTCAGTACTCTTAACCTCTGAGCCTTCTCTCCAGCCCCCAAAATACTCTTTTTGGAAATGAATTTTTGCTAAATTCAAACACTAAAATACCTTTGGAATCATTTTTAAAGAATTATAAAGCAACTACCATAAAATTAGTAAAAACTGAAAGCCCTAATATTACCTAGTGTAACCTTTTGTTAATATAGTTAATTTAGAAATCAAAGATCTGGGGCTGGAGAGATGGCTCAACCATTAAAGGGTAGGCTCAAAACCAAAAATATAAAAATCAAACATCTGTGAACAACTGGGTCTGTAAGCTAAGACCCAGAAGGACCTTTCATTTCATTCTAAACAATACCAAGATATTAGTGATTTACAGTTGAGTAAGTATAGAATTATGGGTTCTAGTAATAAACCACGAAGTCATGATAACTTGGAGAGGTAATAGTCTGTCCCTCAATGAGCTTTCTTTTTATAAATACCACAATAGGAAGAAATGGAGGCAAGCTGTCAATGTAGCACAAAGATTTCCCCAATTACTTTATATTTCAGGCATGCATTCCTGTCATTTAAATAAAGTAGCATTTTAGATCTTCATCTTCCATCCACCCTGTCCAAAGTTGTTTCAAAATGACTTGTTAAAGCTTAGGTAAAAACGAAAGCTTGGGGATTTATAAACACAAACTCATTTATTCTAATAATTAAGCCTGTTTCTCAAAGGAGAGGGTGGTATAAAAATGATGCTTTAACTCGTGGCTTTCTTACCATTCTTCTGTTTTGGGGGGTTGAGGTGTGAACAAAAACGTTACCTCAACTGTTACCCTGAATGTGAAGCCTTTACAGGCAAGTCATGACTGGGTGCCTGTGTTCTCTGTAGTTTGTAGAGCAATCAAAGGTCAGGTTCAGAGATTAAAATAGCCTTGTTTTCAATATAATGAAACCTAAATCTATGAGACTGAACTGAAAATAGACTAAAGCTTTTCTATTTCATGAAATTATCTTTAAATGCTTTGATGTAAATAAGTATTCACAGACTAACATCAGGCACATCATTTACATGCATCAGAAAGTTTCATTCCTTTTACATTTACATGTATTTCATATTGGGCATTTAATATTCAGCCGAATTTTAATTTAAAGAAAAACTGACCACCTACAACTGGCAAAGTACAGTGTTTCCCTGCCCTTCCTGCTGTTTGCAATCTGCAAAGCTCCCTGTGACTAAGGACAGGTGACACCATCAGAACCAACAAGGAAACCTGAAGTGACATCTGATTTTGCTCAAAGACAGAGAGTGGGAGGCAGGCCCAGCGTGTGGAGAAAGCAGGCTCAGGACATGGAGAGGAAACAGGCTGGGGATAGGGTGTTATTTCTGAGATCTTCTAGGAAAACTGCATTCAAAGTTTTGTCTTTATTCTATCCACTACTGACAGGCATTCTTACAACTTAGTGATCCCTAATTAAGCATAAATGACATGATTCTCTCTTCTTGCCCACAAAGGCAGTACTCTATAAGTTAGTTCAGAGTACAAGGTACACATAGGAATACAGATTTACAAGAGGCTTTTTATGTAAAGTGATTTATGTCTTTATTATAAGACAAAATGTCCCTCTACATTCCACCAAACTTCTGGGCTAGAGCACATACACAACTAGCACCATGGCTCTCTATGGGTCCTTTGTGGTCTGGACGCTTAAGTCTGGACACCAGCGTGGACCCCAGGTACCCGCTAACAGAGTCCCAGCTGTGACCTTTACAGCTGCAATCCTCCAAGTGTAGCTTCTGCACTGTGAAGCAGTATAGAAAGCAACCCTTTGAGGCAAAGGGAAAAATGAGGACATGTCTACAGAGACTTCCTCCTCTCTGAATCACATACTGTGGGACACTTCCTCATACACACATTAAGTTAATGTATTGGTATACTTATAAAATTTATAAATATATATTGAGAGTATACACTCAAATACATTTTTTCTAGTTAAGGCATAATACAGTGAATTTTTGCAAAACAGAACATTTCCATATATTTCTAAATATCGTACTTTCAAAATATGTTACTGAAGTATGGGGGGAATAATTGAAATCATTAGATTGTAAAAGTAGAGAGAGATCAGAGCAAGGCTGGGCTGTATGCTTTCCAGGGCATGGGTAGGTAGCTCATTTCTTTTTTCTTTTTCTTTTTTTTATTAAAAAATTGATTTACTTATTTAATGTGCATTGGTGTTTTGCCTGCATGTATGTATGTGTAAGGGTGTTGGATCCTTGGAACTGAAGTCACAGACAGCTGTGAGCTGCCATGTGGGTGCTGGGAATTGAACCCTGGTCCCCTGGAAGAACAGCCAGTGATCTTAACCACTGAGCCATCTCTCCAGTCCCAGTAGCTCATTTCTTGATCCATTCTCTAAACTCTATTACTTCAGTGAGAGCTGAAAATGGATCACAGGCACCACCCAGCACGACCTAGGTGGGTTAGGACCACAGCTGCCAGCTCCAAATCCTGACTCCACCACTTACTTTGGGGAAGATGAAGCAACATGTCTCTAACAGTCCTTGTTTAGCAAGGGGATGTAAGAAGCCCCAGATGTTCAGAATAATTATTGATAAATAAAAAAGAGACCATTTAACATTAGCCCTTTACAATACTGGGAATGAAATGACTGAGTCATATTTTAAATTAACTTGACCTTTTGAAATGATGCTTTCGGGGTCTACTAGTACTTAACTGAATGGAAGCTTTTTTCCCTGAAAGAAAAATCCCTCAATATCACTACCATGAACTCTTCTTTCTTGGAACAGCTGATGTTAACTAAACAATGTCAGGCCCAAACCAAACAGACACAGGAATAACTGTACACAGCATATCTTCTTGGCTTCACTTTCATGTGGAATGTGTGTTTATATTTTGATCTTTTGTCTTTTTTAAATTAAGAAACATTTTTAAACAGCAGCAACTGGAATGACTTTTTTAAAGTTTCCAAACATATTAAGCCACACATGGTAAAGCCTACTGCCAGAACATTCATAAATGCAGTACCAACTGTGTTTGTAGCTGACTTTTCACATGCTATTTTTTGTTACAATTTTAAAATTTATTTTAATTAATTAATTAATTAATTAATCAATTAATTTGAGACAGGGTTTCTCTGTGCAGCCCTGGCTGCCCTGAAACTCCCTCTGTAGGGCTGACCTCAGACTCACAGCTGATATTTTACAATTGTTTTTATTTCATTTAAAGCTTGACCTGAAATTCTTAGCTTTAGTTATTTCCAAAAATTACATAATGAAAAGTCTAAGTCATTTGGAATTTTTGAGACAAAAAAATTTGGTCTCATGAAACAATTATACTAATGATCACATCACAGTGAGGGTTTACTGTGGGGTTTGTCACAACTAGACAGTATGGACAGGGCTGCAAAAGGCTAGAGCATGAGCAGAACCAGCACTCTGGCTTTTCCCATGTTTCTTAGGTTTATTTTATTTATTATTATTGTTTACTTATTATTGGTTTATTATTATTTTATTATAAAATTTCATTGCAATGAAAAGCAGTCAGAGCAAACAAAACCCTAGAAATTCTAAAACAACATATACTTCCTTTCTTTAGTCAAGGCTTTTAAAATGTACCTAAAGGAGGGAAAAAGAACTCATAACATAGAAGTTGATACAAACAGCACAAACTGACATATGAACAAGGCTAAACTTACAAGCCTAGACCAACTGTACTCAGAGACTTCTGCCTCTCAACTGCTTCATCTAAACAAAGGCACCACACACAAGCTCTAAGAACAATCTCTCGAAAAGAATTAATTCACTGATCCAGAGTAAACTTAAGAGAATTATTATGTCTCTTTTTAAAAGGAAGAAATTAACC